ATTTAAAGTTCAGTTCAGATTCAATTGAACTTGAACCTGAATCTAAATTGAACTGAACTGAACTTCAGAACACTAATCATATATATAAATTTGAGTACATAACAGTAGTTCATGATTCTCAGGAATAAGAGACCCAATGTGATGGTATAATCTATCTTGTATGTGAAAATTATATATACCTTGCATTCTGGTGATACATTCATCAATCTTGGTACTGATAGAAGTGAATGCAAGTGCTGAATTGTATATATAAATTTTCTTTCGAAAGTCATGTGCTCTTGGACTTTCATTGGTCAACAGAGTACGTATTAGTAATGAAGGTGTTGTAATAGAGGCAGTTATACCTTGCCTTTTGTACAGTAAATACTAAAAATTGGTGCTCATTTTGTTCTAGCCACTTTCTCTTCAATCCAATGTATTGCTTTGCATTCTGGATATTCTACATTCATACTTTCAATGTTGTGTAGACGTACAGTATTTGAATTATAGTTGTTGTTATATATTGCATTAGAGACTTTATAATGTTTCATTTTGCTTTTTTTTGCATAATTCGCTTTGTTTACTATATAACGGCAAGCATAAGCTTGTCTTTTGGCACTTTAATGATGCTTAGCCTCTTTGATAGTTTGATTAGCAATTTAGTGAGTATACGCTTCTCTCTGGCACTTCGACGCTATTTAGTTTCTTCAACAGTTTGTTCATATACTGGCAAGCATGGGCTTCTCTTGTAAGACGATTTTTTCGTTCGCAAGGGTTTTTCAAATATTCATTTCCTCTTGAGTACATGATATACGTCTGGCATATCATTCTTATTTTAAACAGTTTGGAATTTCATGAAGTGGTTCAGATGTAATATATGTATTTAAATTTATTTTTTCATTAATTGAGTAAACAGAAATGAAAATAATTACATGTCATGAATTGTTTTTTGCAAGTATTTATACTGTACTTGATAACTGGCATTGATCATTAGATTGGCAAGTATATGCAGTGTAACCTACTCGAGAATTGTATTTTAAGATTGTTATACTACAAAATGTATTGTTATATAAACACAGTATATACTATCAATCGTAAAACAATGCTAAATAATTAGTTAGCAATAAAAGTATATCAGAAGCTTTTTTCTCACAAAGGTTAAAGTAATTCATTAAGTTAAATTTAAATCTTGTCTAATAATAACTTTCTGATTTGTTAACTAATAATTTTTTTATAAAAAGATTGCGCGTGTAAGTTCTTGGTTGGGTGACTAAGAGGCA